TTTCCCCCCCCCCCCCCCCCCCCCCCCCCCCTCCTTCCAGGAGCTTTCGAGGTTGTAGTGAGGCGACCGCGGCGGGGGGTAGCGGACGGTTGAGTGTAGTGAGGAGCGGTGAGAGGGGTACGGTGGAACGTTCGAAGGCGGGTGGGGGGGAGGAGGTAGTGCGGCGAGTGAAGGGTGGGCTGGAAACTGTCCGAGGGGGAGGGGGTGTAGTTACGAAGGAAGGTGATGTGAAAAATCGCCCTCTCTGTCCCCAGCAGGCTGCCCTGAACCAGCCTATGAAAAAAGTCAACATGAGTCTAAGTGTTAAAGTACAGCGCAGGACCCATTACTGCTGATAGTGGTCTGCATGTTTAACGTAGAAACGCATGATTGCACTGGTAAACCTGGCGCGCTGCAGCTGGATTTTATTGTCCACTTAAAGTAAGCCTTTTTGCGTTTATTATTGCTGCGTGTAACAAGCTGATAAAACACTGCACGGAAATGAAGGCGCTCCTGATTATTCTACTTGAAAGTAGCCATTAACTCGCTTCTTTATGAGCTACATTGAAAAATCCTTGAACAAGAAATGATAACTTTGCAGGCGGTAAAGAGTGATAACCAGATTTGCGCATTTTAATTGCGTTACAGCGCGAATACAAAATTATCCAATGTCTCTTCTGATTGTACGCCCAGTATAAGTCACTAGCCACTGGTCAAGCAAGTCAATTGAAAGTCAATAAATATTCAAAACCATCCAATAAAATTTGGAAATTTCCGTTCATCGCATTTGCGGAAATAAACTTGATGAAAAGAAGAAACGCATATTTTCGAAGTGTTGTTTTTTTTTGTGTGTGTTTATCCGCGTATTTTGATTCTCAGACCAAAAAAAGCTATGTGGCTGAAATTTTAATTACTTGGTCAACTATATGATTGGATCACCCGACAGATATTGTGTACACACTTCTTCTTGCTTTCGAAATACGGAAGTGCCAAAGATATTTTGGCGTGGGTAGTTTTGGGAACTAGCCAGGCTAAAAAGCTGAAATTTTGCGAAGATGTCCCCTGCCAGAAAATTGTAATTTTATGAGAATGTTCGCTATTCATGTTTGGCCCAGAAGTATAAAATGGGCTTTTATGTTTACCTCTGTCTCGTGTGCGGAAACGTCAAACTTTCATTTGCAAGCTTGCGGTATTCATTCACAGCACCCAGGCATTCATAAAATTTGAAATTTCACGTCGCCCCACGGTTTAGTTGATAGCTGTCTTTTCTGAACGAGCTTTTCCAGAAAGACAGCAAGTATTAAGCCGTGAACGTTATTGCTGTTAACGGTCTTCTTTTTCACGAGACAATGCAAAAACGCACGTTCGAACCGGCAGTCCTGGTGCATACCAAAAATAATTTAGTTTGCATTAGAAGAAAGGCGCAAATGCGTCGTACTTTCAGAAACCTCCGAAATTAAAAATCAATGAGCTCATGAGACAGAATCCCTAGCTAAACGATACTTCATATCCTATTCTTATATAGTAGCAGCTGTGTATTTCACTTTTATTCTGTTAGCTTTATAGAGTCGTTCTGCGCTCTGTAATCGACCACATTTGCGTGAAATGCTACGTGGCACCGACATTTATCGCCTGGAAACAAATTTTAAAACATTCATGCTGGCGAATTTTCGGGAAACACTTCTGACGCTTGAATCAGAGCAGATACGCACACAGGCAACGAACGTTGAGCACTGCTGCAGAGAAATTTACTACAAGAATGCTGTGAGTAACATACGACTGCGTACTCGAGCTTCCCGGTCATGCATTTACAGTGGCACTAGAAATGGCAGTTACATCGCCGGTGTACTGGAATTCGATCATTTCAAGATAAAAACAATACACAACTCGTTGAATGTGCATGTCCCTATCACAGGCAGCTTTGCGATCTTCAGGGATTAATTATTTTCGCTGATCAGTGATGGACGCGAGAGCCGGTTGTGTAGTTAAGAAATTGTTTTTTAAGAAATTTAAGACTGGTTTTTGGCCCGGCTGGATGACGGCCTTCTCATCAGTGTATTCATGTTCATTAAATCCATTGTGAAGGCTGAACTAAATTCTTCCTGCCAAAAATCGGAAAATGCTGAACGCAAGGAAAAAAATCTTACAAGTTCATCAGCTATGTTTACTTGTTAATAATGAAGTGTACAGAAGTTAACGGAAACTTGAAGTACCATGTCAATCTTTAAACACTGTTTACTGATAATGCGTTAATCAGTTTAACCGTTTTCATACTGTCGACATTACTTGTTATGTTATCTTGAATAATAGCCAATTTTTATGCGTTTTTGCTGTGCAGCGCTATAGCAGCGCTATAGCGCTGCTACAGCCAGCAA